CCAGGGGCAACGGTAGGCATCAGGAGGGAAAAAACACACAGGCACAATTCATCGTCGATTCCTAGGAAAATGCAGGAGAATAGGGGAAGTGGGGGGGGCAGACAGGAACCCAGGAAATGTAGGAAAATAGGGGGACTCTGTTTTAGTTGTGTGTATTTCTTTGTGTGTGTCCCAGGGCCCCTTCAAGGCACCGCCCACCAAACTTAAGCCGGGCGTGTCCCTTTGCAGGAGGACTTCTCAAACATTGGTTAAAAATAGTAGGGGTGCGATGTTTTGGAGCATGTTTTGGCTGTTTGGGGTATTTTGGGGGGTATTTTTTGTGTATATATATATATACACATAGATTTCGTCCAAAATCCCCCTGTAGGGGGACATGCCCGACCTAACAGTAGTCACCGCTCACCAAACCACTCCAACCCAACCCGAAGGCCCCGATTTGCCCTCCAGTTCCAGTGGGGTGGGGGGTCGGGCAACCTGGAAAAAAAAACATTTGAAGCCCATACCCTCCGCAACCCGAAATTGAGGTTTTCGGGTTTGGTTAGGGTGGAGAGGCATAGGGAGGGGTGCAATCGCCCAAGGATCGCGCCGATAGGGGCCCGATAGCCCTATCTTGCTCAGGAAGGTTCGAATTTCGCCATCGGGGGTCCATCGCCGATCCATCGGCGATGTGTCGCTGATTCCAAGTCGATGCCTATCCCCCCTATCGTTCAGTTGTGCATAGTCCTCTACAGGAGGAGTATTCTAAAATAGTCCAAACATAGTCTGGGGACGATGCTCTGTTTTTTGTTTGAATAATTTTTGAATGTTTCTCATTCTTCTTCCGAACTCCGCCTGTAGGAGGACATACCCGACCTCATCCCAATCTCGCCCAATGATCGCCGATAAGGGCCCGATAGCCTCACCCTGCCCAGGAAGGTGCGAATTTTGCTATCGGGGGCCTATCGCCGATCTATCGGCGATGTATCACCGATCTCAGACCCCCGACGCCATGCTTTTCATGGCGTGGACACCCAGCGGTCTGGACCCACTCCCTGGGACCGATGCTTCGTCCTGAGTCGCCTTTTGACGGTCCCGAGGGCCGGGAAGGCCCCCCCAGAGGCAGAAGATAGCGAAAAACCGCCCGCCGTGATTGTTTCATGACTCGAGGATTCCAGGTCGATGCATATCCCCCTCCCGTCCCCCGACGTCATGATTTGCTCGTGACGTCGACCCCCAGAGTTCTCGACCCATTCATTCCCCAGGAACGGTTTCTCATCCCGAGTCGTTTTCGGACGGCCCCGAAGCCCCGGGAAAGGGCCCCCGGAGGCCGAAAAGGGTGAAAAAGTCACGAGCCTTGAGACGGGGGTCGATGCAAACGGGGGTCAGTCAGAGCGCCCGACCTTGCAGGATCCTGCAGGGCTAAAGGGCGCACTGACCCGGGCTTGGGAGCAGGACCCCCTGCGGGATCTTGCCGGATGCCCCGCGCTGGCCCGGGCTCGGGTGCCGGATCTCGCAGGATCTTGCCGGATTCCGCCAGGCTCGACTGACCACCCTGACCTTCCAGAGAGCTATATCTTTTAGCACCGGAGGCCGAAAAACCTAAAAAACTAGACGAAACAGCCTAAAACCAAGACGTAGAATAGCTCTGGGATAGGTTTTTAGGTCGGGTGAAATTCTTCAGCCCTCCTGGAAGGTCAGGGCAGGGTCTGGACCGACCCGGGCCAGGAGATCGCCGATAAAAACCTTCCGTCGTGATTTTTCTGCACCGGCACCGCCTGCACCCCGCGCCCCGCCCACTCTGGCCGCCCGAGCCCCCGCCTGCCCCCTGCCCTGTCACCTCAATTGAAGCTGTGCGTCGCCCGCCTATAGCTTTTCGCGGAAGCGGTTCGCGCTCGCCCCCGCCGACCAAAACAGTTTTTTTTTTTTTTTGCAGCGCGAGGGGGCCCAGGTTTGGGTGCTGGATCTTGCAGGATCTTGCAGCATTCTGCGAGGCTCGAGTGACCAGGGCCTGGACCGACCCGGGCCAGGAGATCCCCGATACAAAAACCTTCCGTCGTGATTTTTCTGCAGCGGCACCGCCTGCACCCCGGGCCTCACCCACTCCGGCCGCCTGAGGCCCCGCCTGCCCTGTGCCCTGTCTCCTCAATGAAAGCTGTGCGTGGCCCGCCTATAGCTTTTCGCGGAAGGGGTTCGCGCTCGCCCCCGCCGACCAAAACAGTTTTTTTTTTTTTGCAGCGCGAGGGGGCCCAGGTTTGGGTGCTGGATCTGGCAGGATCTTGCAGGATTCCGCGAGGCTCGAGTGACCAGGGTCTGCATTGACTCGGGCCAGGAGATCCCCGATACAAAAACCTTCCGTCGTGATTTTTTTTTGCAGCGGCACCGCCTGCACCCCGGGCCCCGCCCACTCCGGCCGCCCGAGGCCCCGCCTGCCCTGTGCCCTGTCTCCTCAATGAAAGCTGTGCGTGGCCCGCCTATAGCTTTTCGCGGAAGGGGTTCGCGCACGCCCCGCCGACCAAAAAAGTGTTTTTTTTGCAGCGCCGGCCCGGGCTCGGGTGCTGGATCTTGCAGGATCTTGCAGCATTCTGCGAGGCTCCAGTGACCAGGGCCTGGATTGACGCGGGCCAGGAGATCCCCGACAAAAAACCTTCCGTCGCGATTTTTCTGCAGCGCGAAGGGGCCCGGGCCCACCGGTGCCCCTCAGGAGAGGGGCCAGGGGCGGCGCCCGCTTCTGCGCGGGGCGCCGCCGCCCCTGCTGCGCGGGCAGGAGCCCTGGGAGAGCTGCAGGGGCCAGCTCCCCAGAGCCCCCCTCGAGCCAGCAAAAAAAAACCAGAGATCCAACGCATCGACAAAAATCAAGACGGAGGTTTTTCGCACATTTCGGCCCCCATCGGGGCCCTCGCTGGGCCTCGGGGCCGTCAAGAAGCGACTCGGGGTGAGAGACCAGTCCTGGGGAAGGGGTCGAGACTTCCGGGGACCGCGCACTGAAAAAAACACGACGTCGGATCTCTGGGCCCCCAGAGCCCCCCTCGAGCCAGGAAGAAACACGGCGGCCGCTTCTTCGCATCACGACGGGAGGTTTCGCGCTATATTGCTAAGGCCTCACGGTCGTTGCCGCCGACCTTGGAGGCCGCGGCCCTCGACGGGAATGTGAGGGAGAGGGCGGGCCATGGGCCTCGACCCCTTCCCGGGACCCCCCTCCCCGGCCTGCCCCCCCCCTTCTGCGGGGAAGGGAGCAGAGGGAAGGGCTTCCCTTCGAGCTCAACTCCGCTGTGGATGGGCTGGCGTATATTTCGCTTTGGCCGGCGTGCTTGCGGGCGAGGGCTCAAAGGAGAGGGGGGGAGCGGCGACGGACACCCCCGACCCCCGACGTGATGACTTTTGTCATTACGTCGGCCCCCAGAGGTCCCCCCTGAGCTATTCTACGTCTTGGTCTTAGGCTGTTTCGTTTAGTTTTTTAGGTTTTTAGGTCTCCAGTGCTAAAAAAATAGCTCTCTGGAAGGTCAGGGCCGACCCTTTCCCCATGACCGGCCTTGCATCCTGAGTCGTTTGTTGACGCTCCCGAGGCCCGGTGAAGGCCGCTGGAGGCGGGAAATGAGGAAAAACCTCCCGTCATGATTTTTTCGTTACTCGAGGCCGGGGGTCGGGGGAAGGAGGGGACGTCATGGCGGCGGCGACGCGACGGCGGTAGTGACGGCGATGGCGACGGAACGTCTTGCGCTATTTTCGGCCTCTGGGGGCCCTCCCCGGGCCCCGGGACCGTCCAAACACGACTCAGGATGAGGAGCCGACCTCCAGGAAGGGGTCGAGACGTTTGGGGGTCGAGATCATGGCGCCGGGGGTTTGGGTTTCGGCCTCGATCGAACTCAGGGGAGGAAGAGGTAGTCGTGCCGCTGTGCCCTTCGGCCGTTTTGCATTCGGTTGGGCATCCAAGGCGGTCCTCGTCGCCACCGCTGGATTCGTGTCGAAATCCGGGGCAGGACGCACCCCAGGAGAAATCCTGGGAGCAGCGGTATCGGTACCTGTTGGTCTCTCGGCCTCTGTCGGACTCTGAGATCCTGGCGTTTCAATGTTGCAGAGCCGGGGCGTGTTCGCCCGACGTTGGAATCAGCGTTTCCTGCCTTCGGATCGCATTATTGGCCCGTCCTCCTGCTCTCCTCCTCGCCCCTCCTGCTCCTCCTCCCCCTCTCCTCGCTCTGGCGGCGCCGAGGAGCCGCCACCGCCGCCGCGCCCGCCCCCCCCCCCCCCCCATACCCTGCGCGGGAGCCCCTTGTGAGAATGGGGGCACGCCCGAGGGCGGGGCACGTGTCGTGCGCGGCGGGCGGCGGGGCGGCCCTACACCGACGATGTCGATCCAGGAAGAGCCCAGGAAGAATCGTCGACTGCCTCCACCTCCTGCTCCTCCTCCTCCTCCTCCTCCACCTCCTCCTCCTCATCCTGGGAAGAGCCCGGGAAGAGCTCGTCTCCCTGGCGAGCGGGCGAATCCAGTCCACGTCCAGTCCCAGACGTGCTCCAGATCTGGTCCAGATCCCGCCCAAGTCGGACAGCGCTGGGGGGCCACGGAGGCCCCCATGGACAGACACCGGGGCTGGCCAGGAGGGACCCTGGGAGGCGTCTGGGGAGCCGTCGTGACGGTTTTGCCACGCGAGGGGAGGAGGAGGAGGAGGAGGAGGAGGAGGAGGAGGAGGAGGAGGAGGAGGAGGAGGAGGAGGAGGAGCAGGAGCAGGAGCAGGAGCAGGAGCAGGAGCAGGAGGAGGAGGACCAGGAGGAGGACCAGGAGGAGGACCAGGAGGAGGACCAGGAGGAGGAGGAGGGTAGCCTGGGAGCAAAGCGCACCTGCTCCGAGGAGGCCGGCCAGGGGCGCCCGCCCCCGGCGGCGCCGTCGGCCGAGGCGGCGGTGCCGGAGACCGCCGGCGCGCGGGCCGCCGCGGGGCCCACGGCGGCGGCCGCGCCCGCCGCCAGGCTCCCTGGGGCATGAAGAGTTCACGACGGGGAGTTTGTCTCTGGACGCCCGAGGACGAGGA